ACACTTCCTCTCAATGAGTGCGCTGGCCACCTAAAGTCAGGTTAAAGACGTCCCTCTGTCTCTTATGAACCAGCACAGCCTGAATTCTCCGAATTTCTATTCACTAGTATGGTCCCTGCACTATAAAAAGTCTGTCACAAGAGGTCTGGCTTAAAATCTACTTCCCTCAATGCAGTATTAGGAATGACTGGCTTTGATTTAATGTAATTTAACTTAATTATTAAAGTTAAGGGTTTCTAAGTTGAATTTTCTAATTTATTGCTGAATTTTGAAGTAACCCTCATTACCATATGTCACTGATTCTAAAATATGCAGTTTTCACATTGTAACATCTCTGACATTGGGATGCATCTTATGATTGCTGTAGACAGTGTGACAGAGTTGTCACTTCACGATCTTGGTTGTTATTCCTGGTAGCATGACAGTTTCTCAACATTCAGTCAACAAATCATTTAAAGACTGTTTGAGGAAGGATTGTAAGGTCTGGTTACTGTCAGAATATCTTCCTTTGACATTTTCTAGTAAGCTTCAAAAACAAACAGAAGTCCGCTCAGAAAAAAAAGACAATGGTAGAGAACCTGTTTCTTAAAGTTACAGAGCACCATCAACACTTGTGCTGTGCACAGATGACGTCAAGTGGAAAACATGGGCATCAATGACTCAGACGCAAAGAGTGATTCGGAAAAATTGGATTCTAGATGTTTTCAGAATTCCTTGATCAGTTTATTTCACTTATAGCAGCCTTCTCTAGCAAACCGGGAACTCTGAAGTGAGGGGAGGGCTCAGGTCTTAGCCAATTTTCTATTTTAAAGCCCAGCTTACTGGCACAGGTCAGGCATTCAAGGGATGGTTGGTCAATAAATAATAAATGAACAATGGGGGAAAAGAAGATGGTGAGACCGATGGGGGAAGAGAGAGGAAGTCTAGAGGAAAATAGTATGGGTAAGGCTTATTATAATGGACTTGAAGAATGAAAAGGAGCTTGTAAATTGACAAGGGGGTGGGGTGGTATTTCAGGCACAGGGAAAGGAATGTTTTAGGAAAAAAAGCTCTAAAAAACACACTGTGTTTGGGAAATCACAGCTAGCTTTCAGATACTTCGAAAGTCAACAACAGAAAGTAGTAAGACTGAGACTAAAGAAAGAGATTCAGATCCTGGATGGTTTCAAAAGCTTTTTTTTTTTGAAAGAAGTGTGGACTTCATTTCTAGGTCACTGATTCTAATCCTTTATCACTTTTATTTCACTAGTCATTCTATTAAAGAGTTATCATCTGACAACAAATAAGTAAAAGCCTGTTTTTTCCCAGTAGGAATTTATATTTTCTGACTTTACATTATTTTACTCTTAATTTTTGGTAGGCTACTGGGGCAAATCTTAGTTATATTATAGAAAGTACACTGAATTGCAATGGTTTTGAAAGACAAGTCTTCTTAACCATTTCACTGCAACAATAATTATACAATGCAAGGATTAAAAATACAGTAGTTGGGGGAGATGAATAGGCAGAACACAGAAGTTTTCTTAGGGCAGAGAAAATACTCTGTATAATGATGGAGGTATGTCACCATGCACTTGTCCAAATTCATGGAATGTACAACGCCAAGAGTGAACTTTAGGGGAAACGATGTCTTTTGGGTGATTATGATATGTCCATGTAGGTTCATCCTTGTAAAAAATGTACCTTTTAGGTGAGTGATGTTGATAATGGGGGAGGCACATAAATGGGTGGGGGCAGGAGGTTTATGGGAAATCTCTGTAGATTCCTCTCAATTTTGTTGTAAACCTAAAACTGCTCTAAAAAATAAAGTCTTAAAAATACAGTAGTATTATTGAGAAATAATATCTTGCTTATGACTAAAAGATGTAGCCAGAAATGAAAATTTTCTTAGTAGTATAAAATTTCAATAACATCACTGTGCTATTACCAGTATCAGGTTTGGGGAGAAGTGGGACATCAAAGGCATTTGCTGGGAGATGTGAGCAGGGAACAGAGGACTTGGGAGAAATGTCACCATTACTCCTGGCACGCTAAATCTTGGCAGCAGGTGGCATACCTCACCTGAAGCGGATATGGAGAAAGAAACAGGATTCACTGACAATGCCACATCTTATTTACCTTGCCTTTAAGACCACCAGCTGGGATCGCACGTTAGCCCAGGAGAAGCCATGTCACATACACTCCACTTTCAGCTATGATGAAGTGGCTTCTAGACTAACTTTGAGCAAGACAACTAAAAGAGGTGATGAAATGCAAAAACAAAAGCTGTGCAGGCACTAAAAGACCTCAAGATGCATAAAGCAAATTTATTTCTATAAATAAAAATTTATGAAGAAATTTTCTACAAATTTCAAATGTTTGAAATCATACAGAGTCTACTCTCTGACCACAGCTGTGCAGAAAGGGTGTGGAGCTTAGTTTCTAACATGAGTGACTGGGCAGACGGAAATCCAGGCGGAGGGGGTGTTGCTGCTGGGGACTCCTCGTGGAGGGGAGGAGAGGAAGGCGGAGCAAAGGTAACACGTGCATTTGAGATGCTGGCCGGAGATCCAAGTGGGGATGGTTAGCAAGTGAAATTAGGAAAGCTGATTGGGAAAACTCCTGTTGAATTTACGGGGAGCCTTGTCTAAAATGAAACCTCTGCCTGGGTTCACGGACTTCACGAGAGTTGGGTTTCTAGAGCACCCCACCTCCAAGCCACAGCGTGAAACGCTTGAGGGGGTATCTTTCTGACTTGGGAGTCAGGCTGGGAGCGGCAGCAGAACAGTGAAGGACGTGGGGTCTCACCTCAGCCACGAAGGACTCCGTGGCCTTGGGCAGCCTCACCTCGCCAGCCTGCCTTGCCCTCCCTGGGCCTACACCTGAACTAAATCTTTACCATTTCCTGAGAAGCCTCACCCTGAATCTTTTTCCCCAGCATGTTTGATTAGCTTCTATAGTCAGCGACGTCCTCACAGCCGAATTTACTCATGGCTAGTCTCACACTTATCTTTTATGGACTATTTCTAGAGAAACCTTGCTGGTATTTTACCAAAAGACCAGAATCTCTCCCTAAAAAATTTAAAAGATAATCCTAAAGCAAGATATTCAAACACAGATTTAAAATGGTTTCAAAAAATATTTCTAAAATGCACTGTTGGTATTTAATATGTCTCTGTCAAAGGATGAGAGTAGAGAAATACAACAACTGTATTTTAAAGATGTACATATGTTGTACTGTCTATAATATGTGCATGAATAAATGCCAGATAGATACACAGGAGATAGCTATGAGAAATTAAGGTTTTGTTTATCACTCTCCTATTGTAAAGGGAAATCATTTGTTTTCTTATTTCGATAAGAACTCTTATTATACACTAACAGAGCCTAAGTTGTAGTAACATATACATATGCTTGTGAAATTCAAACACTTCCTTTCTTGTGAGAAGGAATGACTATAATGAAACTCTAATTCATCGATCACCATGCAAATGTAAACAAGGACTTTCTCTCTAAATTTATTAATAGCTACTCCCTGTCTAGAGTAGCCAAATATTCAGCAGCTGTTACCCAGCGACCCCCCCCCCCCCCCGCCCCCGCCCACCCAGTACCACCTAGTTTTCACTTCTGGTTGAGTCGACGAGAGTTAGCATGGGCCATGGCAAGAAACAGACTTGTGCATGGACAGTCAAGAAGTAACAGAAGTTGTAGGTGACATCCCTCTCTTCCTAACTGATCTGCTTTCTATCCTTCCAGGATAATCAGACCCAAAGGACATGCAAGTAGACTCAATGAGAAAGATTATCTGCAAATACAGGCACCCAGAGTGAGCGGAAAGTAACCCATTCCTAAAAATGTGTCCGATAATGAATTCTCAGAAAGTGGGAACCCAGTTTCCTATTTTCTAAACAGAAAAAGTAGTAATACATTTCTAACTCACATAGATTGCATCTGTCAATCCACTATCTAGGCATTTTCTAGTTTTTAAAAAAAAATATTATGCTGCACTCAAGTAGCACAGTGAAGCTTTTCAGATCCACCAATCTCATAAGTTTTCTTTATCTTCCTAAGCACAGAAAAAATAACATGCACCTTGGGAGGGACAGGTACATGCACCTGGCTAGCCTTATGTCTTGGCTTTAGCAAGCTTCCAACTTTTCTTTTGCTGAAGGAAAGGCCACCTGGGCTCACTTCTTTGCTTCATAATCTCTTCCATTTTTCAGAAGGCGTTTTCACTTAATAATGTGGGGAAGATGAGAAACAAAAATGCCCAGTATGTTTAAACAGCACACACATCAAATGAATCTGCAGCCAACGCCTTATCCTCTCCAGGGACATCTGGCAGCTCGAATGTTCCTACTGGCGCACAAGTGCCAGTGCCTTGCAGAGGCTACAGTTCAGATAGTAAATTCAGGGGAAAAATTTATATAAGTCAGTAAAAACTATTTGAGTTCAGTTAGTGAAGATTACAGCAAAATGAAAAAACTATTTTAGAATTATTCTCAGTTTTCACGGGATTGTGAGACAAATTGCAAAGTGGCCATATCAATGATATTCTCCTGTGGAATTAGCTTAAAAGTCATGAATCAGGCAGTGTTTCATAGTTTCCCTACATCTGACTATGTTATTTTAAAGAATATGTAGCATAAGGATTTCCATTTGATGGGCCAGAGAAAACCAGAAATCCAGTGTTGGTTCTGATGAGAAGTGGCTCTTTTCTCTGATCATACCCCCGAAGTGTCCGGGAGGGAAGGATTCGTGTTTCTAGTGAATCATCGAGTGGCCAGTAGACTATGTTGCATAAACTAATATGCAACAACACAATTAAAAAAATTTCAGTAGTATTGATTTATCGTTCTCTCATTTAAAGGCTTTAATGAGCCTATTTTCCAAAGGAGAAGTAGGAAGTGTATTCAGTGAAATGTGTTGATTATACAGAAATTAGATATTATGTTACATGCAATTAAAAGCACCCTATCAGGATACCCAGCGGTAGAGTAGCGTATCAACCGTGGCCTTACCCTTTAATTTCAAGGCTTCTAATACCTTTGAATCAGCTGTTACATCACTGACTAGCTTGATTTCAATATCCTGCGATGTCAGTTGGAGCAACTTTTCAAAAAGACGTTGACCCTAGAAAAAATATTCAGAGACAAAGAAAGTCAGAAAATCTGAAAGTATGCCATTTTAAATAGGTATAAATAAACTTATTAAAAATTAAAACTCTTCATTCAAATTTTAACAGGCAGGCACTTCAGCAATTGGCATTCATGGGAGATTTTTTCAAAACAGTTTAGATACAAAGAGAAGGAACACGAGTGCAGATTACATTATGTTTTCTTGAGGACTGTGCAGTTCAACAATTATTGCAAAACTAATTTCAACGCTACAATGCAAATCTTTCCTTCTTTTACTTCTTCCCGAACTCAAGCTATCTACACATGAAGAGGTGGCACAGAATATTAAACCGTTGAATTTGGGCCCAGAGAGCCCTGGATTTCAGCTGTTTTTCCAATTTACAATCTGTGCTTCTTAATCTCACCAATCTCCATTTTGTTCCTCAGCAAAATGTAGGTAATATTAGTATTTACTTTAAAAGATTTTTGTACGGATTAAAGGAGTTAGTATTAAGTATCTTTTAATTGTAAGCTATTATGTGAAGAATCTTGCCTATTTATCAGTGATTTGCTTAAATTCACCTTCTTGTTGAAAACCTGTTTTACCAAATTCAACTAATGTTCTGCCCAGCAAGCTACAATTATTAGCATAGCCTAAAAATAACTCAAATATAAAGAAAATCAAAAATAAAGGTTTTCCTTACAGGATTTTCACAAGCACACAATTTTATTATTATTACCTTTTTTTGCTGAGGAAGATTGGCCCTGAGCAAACATCTGTGCCATCTTCCTCTACTTTGTATGTGGGATGCCACCATAGCATGGCTTGAAGAGTAGTATGTAGGTCCATGCCTGGGATCCAGGCCCGTGCACCCTGGCCAATGAAGTGGAGCATGGAACTTTAACCACTCAGTCACGGGGACAGCCCCTAAGCCCACACTTTTTATAGTTAAGGTTTAATCTCAGAGAGACTCTGAAGAGTGACAGGTCCATAGTCAGTACAGTGGATACAGGCGAGTGGATTGTAACATTACCCTGTTTATTTTCCCTCATGTGTTTTCATGGACTCCCTCTCCTAAACATAAAAGGGACTGGGTCTTCTGATTTTTCAGAGTTTTGCTATTCAGCCACAAATTCAAATGCTTTCAGGATCCAGACAGGCAACAAGGCTTTGGTCTTAAGGGTCCCCAAGTGGCAAAGTCTTCCCTTACTTTGTAAGAATGGACTGCTGACAACGATTACGTGGAAAGGATTTGGAGACTGGGAAGACACGATGGAGGAGATGTGGATGTGAAGCAGTGAGGCCTGCAGTTCAGCCTTAGAAGAGAGAGGGGCCACGGGCCAAGGCCCTAAAACTTTGGAGGGCTAAGGAGAGAGTTGTCTGCCTGCGCCAGGGCGACCGCGACAGCATGGAGGTGTCTGACGTAATCCAGCCATGCTCCAGCCTGGAGGTGGCCCGGTCCAGCCCAAGTTCCATAATCCCTGGGGGTTGGAGGATGTCATGCATGGCTGCTTCCTTTCCATTTAACTAAGTGTGGTCATAAAGGTTGCCCAAAGTAGAACTCAGTAAAAGTGACCAAATTACTCTGCACCCAGAGCCTGGAGGAAGCCTCCCCACAAACCAGATATTCCCATGAGGTATGCTGACTGAGTGCACTGGGCAGCTGTAAATTGCTTCTTCAAAAGAGAGGTGGGAGGGGAGAGGGAGAAAGAGAGAAAGAGACATGAACAGACAGAGAGGACAGGAAAAAGACCCAGCTGCTGGTCTGCCAATTTCAGGGTCTATGTCCATTTCACTTTGACTCTGGAGAGGCCAGGGCTTGGGCAGTGAGAGGCTCAGGTGCCCATGTGAGGGAAGATGCGCAAGGCACGGCTCTGTGGGTCTCCTGCAGACAGAGTCATCACCAACACGACCTTCTTCGTCAGCTCTGGCTCTCCTCTGAGGTGTGCACCACACTCTTGTCACACACGCTTGAAGGCTTGCTGATGTCTGCATGGCCCAGACTTCAGACTCACGGTCGTCACATAGTCACCTAAATTGTTCGTAGGTCCCCCTCACACAGAGAAAGGGCTTATGTGCTTTGTGTGTTTTACAAGACCCCATAGTTAGTGGGCCAGTATTTTTAAACAAACGCCTTTTTATTTTGTCCTTTTAGTTAACATATTTAAGCACAAATGAAAGATAAGAGATCTTCTAACCTATCTGTATCTCTGTCTCTGTGGCTTAAATTGATTCCCACCATGTTATTTTTATGAGACTTAAAATGAAGACCAGAATTCTCAAACAAGAATGAAAATAGAAACTCCAGAATCTACAGAGACTGGCAGACTGTCATTCAATAAAGCGTATTTTACTTTTAGTCTGTGCTGATTACTTACACCAAGGATTCTTACATTGTTTAATTATAGTGCTCACTGTAATGAACTTGGGCTTGAGGTGGAACTTCTATTCAACCTCCCCATTTTCAGTGTCTTAACTCCCTGTCCACACATTTTCACCAAGATTCTCAAAGTGTAATAACTTCCAAAGGTATGAAACACCTGCTCTGAGCAGAAACCTGCAGTACGGCCTGCTGCTGGGTGAGCTAAATTGACTCATCATGTTTTCATAAAGGAATAATAAAAGTCCCTCAGCTTTTAAAAATCAGAAATTTAAAGCTTGCCCTTTCTGGTGAGAAACATTAGCCAACACTTCCAACTTCACTAAATCATCGTGAAGACAGTGTGTGGCTCAGGAATGTTGACCTGCATTAAGCCAATTTTTTCTGATGTCTGCAAGACCTTTCGATAAACAGTGAGGTCCTGGGGAGGGAGCTGCACCCCAAGGACAGAGATCCAGCGCAGCCCCTTCGTGACTTTGAAGAGCTGCTTAACGCAGAGGCCCTTTCAATCCCAAGACAGCAGGGGTGAAAAATACCACCTGTTTCTGTTGACCTGAAACAACCAGTGGACAGGATGAAATGCAGAAACATAACTTGAAGGGAAAAAGCAAAATTACCAAAGAGAATCAGAAGAAAGTCATGCTCTATGAGATTAATTCGGGGATCACGTAGAATATGGCCATGGTTTTCAAGCTTGTTTTAGCAGTTAAACTCTTTGTTCAAATGAAAACTTAACCTAAACATTTCTTTCAATCCCTCTCTGCCCTGCTCTACAGAATCCCCAGGGGTACACAGAACACAGCTGGAAAATCACCGAATTTTACCCCTTCATCTGAGGTCTGATGTGGAACCGTCAGGATACCGAGATTGAGAAGGTCAGGGCTGGAAGATACCTTTGAGATCAATAGTCTACTCATCGCCCAAGAAAATCAAGTAATGTGCTGATGGTTCCACTGTTTTCTCTACAAGACCATTTTGTTATGTTAACGTTGGGAAAGGAAGGGGTATTTTGGGAAGGAAGTTACCCTTGACTCTCTCCTTCCAATCCCAGCTCTGGTACATTCAACTCTCCTGAGCTAAGTAAGCAGTTCTGGAGCTGGAAGGCGCTTTATTACCAGCAAAGTTGGGTTCTGAGGAGTCCCGGTGCCTGCAGAGCCACGGTCAGCCCACACGAGTACCCCAGTGCTCCCCGTCCTCCAAGAGGCTGGGCAGGAGCCAAGGCAGCCTCCCCCCACGTGGGCTGGGAGGTGGAGTACTGAGGGAAGAGGGGCTCTCTGCTTGCCCTGGTGGGGGACTATTAACTATCTAGTACTGCCCTTCCTTCGCCTGAAAGGAAGAAGTTACTAACAATCTGATGAAGTCAAACAGTAACATATTTAGGGGGACCCAACAAGAGAGAAGATGCTTGAACACAATGGGCACCTCATGATACAGGCTACTCAAGAAGACAGAAAGTGGAGCTGAAACACAGCATGAGTACTCAAGAATAGTCAGGCAGGGCCGGGACTGTGATTTCAGAACTAAACTGGAAGAGTAATTAAAGAAAAATATAGCTACTATTGAGGCTCATATTAGTGGCCTGAAAACCAAATGGAAGAAATATCTCAAAGTGCATGCACGCACGCATACACAGACACACACGAAAACATAAGACGTAAAGAAAAGAGTGATGGATGAACGGAGGAGATACAACATGTGGCTAATAGGTGTATTGGAAGAGAAAAAGAGGGAAAAAGAAAAAGGTTGCAAATAACAGAAGGAAAATTGTCCAACTTGAGGAAAGATCTAAATCTATAAGTTGAAAACAAGATGGAGGCAAATGTAATGCGGAAAGACACACGCAGGCACGCTCTGTAAAATTACGCAACATCAAGGAGAAAGAGAAATTCTCACAAACTTCTGGCCAAAAACACAACAAAAAAATTGACCCATTGAGGAAAATGGATCAGACCGGCATGGAGCTAAACTGCAACACTAAGCTAGTACATGGGGGCTTCAGACTCTGGAAGAAAAAGACTGAAGCCCAGCAATGCTTGACTCAGTCAAGGGGTTTACCTGCCAGGGAGAGAGAAGGAAAGCTTTGCAGGTATATACAAATTTCGATATTACATTACCTACACAACCCATATGAGGAACACTTTCAAAGAAAGACTCTAACCAAACAGTAAATAACACAACACCATCAAGGAGGACGAAGGGAGAAGAAACGTGATGAGCAGATGCTGTGGACATGTGTTTGATGTCTTTGCTAAACAAGGATTTTTGAAAAGATGAGACACCTTACAGGCGAAAGTCTTCTGAGAAGCTATAACGTGCACTCTCAGTGGGGCACTATTGCCCCCAAGGGGCTGAGAAGTGCTTTGTGTGTGTGTGTGTGTGTGTGTGAAAGTTACTATTTTTATGAATAAAACACAGATCTACCTACAGTAAATATGCAATATATCTGTGGTATTAAAATCTCACTTAAGGGGGCAGAATTAGGAAAAAATGTCTAAAAAGGCTTAATAAGGTCATAACGAAAAGAAGGTTGAGAAACACTGATCTACAGCCAAAAGGATAAAGAATCTCAGTAAAAATTAGAACAAGAGTTAGGGCGGGCTTAAAGTGCTAGCCAGGAAAAAGTACGTCATTATTA